GCAACACGAGTGCACTCATATACATGCAGACAATACACTTGTACACCTAAAATTTTAAAAAAAATTTAAAAAGAAGAAAAAACAGTCATAAGAAGCTTCTTCAAGTCACCAGAGCACCAGATTGCAAGTCCGGGTCTAGCTGTTACCAGAGTCCTGAGTTTCATGTGGGCTCTAGTGCTGGGCTGATATCTTAATAAGTTCCAGGCAGGGAATGGGCCACATTCTTCCTCTTTTCTTCCCCAATAATGGGAATTGAGGCTAAGGAAAAGCCCAGTGTGTGCTCAGTAAGCATTCTCCCCCTGAGCCATGCTCATAGCCTGCATTTTTTAATACATTCTGGTAGCGTCCATGATGCAAAAGATATTCCACTAATGCCTGTGGATTGGGCAGATGGAATAAGCAGGAGCCAGTTCCTGAAGGTTTCCTCTTTTTTTTTGAGACAGAGTCTAACTATGTAGCTCTGGCTAGAGCTATGTAGACCAGGCTGACCTCTAAACTCACAGAGCTCCCTCTGCCTCTGTCTCCAGAGTGCTGAGATTAAAGTCATGCACCCCATGCCTGGCTTGGTTCCCTAACTCTTTCATGAGGTCTGAACCCAGGAATCATTTTAAGGTGGAATAGGTCTGTTCAGGATGAGTTGTGCAGAACCTTGAATCTAATAATTTCCTTTTACTTCCCCCTTCAACCTCATCTCTCCCATATGTGTCAAACCTATCATCAAGAGTTTTTCAAGTATTATTTAACCATCCAACTGATATTTTTGAATCCTGACTACTGTTCTACAGACTAATGGAAAAAAGGACATAATTCTTACCCTGTGGAATTTACAGTCGAGTGGGGGAGGAGTATGATCATCAAATAAATGCTAATTTGTAGATCTGACAAGCGTGAAGAAGGAAATACCACGGGACCCTATAAAAAGCAGGTTTGACCTACTCTGGAAAGCTAGGGCAGCCTCTTTTGAGGACCTGAGGCTAGAGCTAGGATCTTAAGAAGGGGAAGAGTTAGGCCTAGAGGGGAGTCAGTGAGTCCTTGAAGTGATGGATAAGGGTTCCCCTGGATCGTGAAGCATATTTTATACGACTGTGGCAGTGGCACCAAGGGCCAGGCATCTCGTTTGCAGACTGCCTCTATGCCTCTGCATTTTAGCGAGTGCGTCACGCCTCGAAAGATGTACTGGACCCGAGCTTCCAAAGTCCCACTTGGGAATGACGTCGTCTGGGTGCAGAACTAAAATAGCCGGCTCCGCCCCCATCTCCCAGCAGCCTCTGCACCCGCCCTCCCCCCACTGTGACAGGCCGAGCCGGCTCTCACCCGGTCTCTAGTAGTTTCCCTGGTGCTGACGCATGCTTGCGCATACAGCCGGGCCTGCCGCGTCCAACGCCGCAGCCGCGAGTCGGGCTGCGGGTGCCAGACGGTTCCCCACGGGGGCAGGGGCGGGACTCCTGGCAGAGGACGTGCGGCCGGGGGCTGGGTCAGGTTGGGGGCCCTAGATTGGCTGCTGGAGTTTGGGGGTTCGGATAGAACTCCCCAGGCCTGCTCCGAGATAGCCCTGGGCACCGGCCTGACTCGGGTAGATAAGGCTCCCGGGTCACCCGCTGCAGACGCGCCTTCCACCTCTGAGCGCCTTCTGCCCCGCTGGGGGCTGCGGCCGCACGGAGCAGCGGTGCTTCCGTCTGCCTGACTTCTCCCCTGCAGCCCGGAGGAGGGCCGTCTGACGGCTAACGAGTTGCCATGGCATCCTACTACGAGATTCTAGACGTACCGCGGAGTGCGTCCGCTGATGACATCAAGAAGGCGTAAGTGCCTCTGCTGTGCATCAGGAAACCTCTCACCCTCGGTCCCCCAGCACCAGGGGCCCTTCCGAGGCATGCCTGGAGGGAGGAAGGAGAGCCTTGGGAGAGCTCGAGGAGCAAGTCCAGAGAGGGAAGAAGTGATGGGAACTGGACCGGGGTTCCTTCTCCAGGGCCCCGCTGTTCCTCTCACTCCATTCCTCCAACCCTCATCTCCAAGATGTGGGCGTTCCCAGGCTGCAGTGCTGAAATGCACAGACTGTATGAGGGAGGCCAGTGTCCTGCATCCTCTGTGCCTACAGATAGCAGCTCTCTCTAGAGAAACCCAAGAGAGGACTTAGGGTGGGGAAAATCTGGCGTTAGTCTCTGCTCATAGTGGGGAGAGAGAACTCCCTGAAAACATGGCTGCAGTCATGGGTGGACTGGGATCCAAGTAGTGAAAGGATGCTGGTGGGCTAAGGAGAGAGGGTGGTTCAGTTGCCTGGTGGGAAGAGCCTGTATCTGTCCCCTGACCCTCCTGCTGCGCTCACTTCCTGCAGGTATCGAAAGAAGGCTCTGCAGTGGCACCCAGACAAGAACCCGGATAATAAGGAGTTTGCTGAGAGGAAATTTAAGGAGGTGGCAGAGGCCTATGAAGTGCTATCTGACAGTAAGGCCTGGGGTCAGGCAGGGCCCAGCACATTCCCCTGCCTCCACTTCATGTCCATCTCACTTCTCCCCAAGGCTAGCCTCCACTACCTGCCTCCTCCATGCTTTTTTTTTTTTTTTTTTTCCTAATCTAGCATTTAAGTGCCCCCTCTTACAGGGCAAGTTCTGTCTGTTCCCAGGGTCTGGAAAGCAGAATGGGTCCTGACCAGGGAAGGGAGCAGGGCAGGTCACTGAGGTGTACTGAGCTTTCTCTGCCAGTCTGCACTCCATAATGCTGTGGGACCTCACAGACTTCATGTCAGGCAGGTTTTGTCACTCCCATTTGATAGGCAGGTAAAGTAAGGCTGAGAGAGGTGAAATAATTTGCTCCTGGTCTTCTGGAGCTAGCATATAAATCCAGGTCTGTCTGGTGGTTTTGTTTGTTTGTTTGTATGCTGAGGATCATTCTCTGGGTTTTGGACATGCTAGGCAAGTGTTCTGCTGTTAAGCTACATCCTCAGCCCCAGGTCTGTCTTTTATTCATTCTTTCACTCATTTATTCAGAAAATGTAGACATGACTATAAACCTGGTACTCAGGAGATAAGGCAGGAGAATCTCAAGTTCAAGGGTACTGTGGGTTAGAGTCTGAGATCTTGTCTCAAATAATAAGCAAATAAACCTCAAATAACAACTGATGGGGTGGAGATGAAGCTTAGTTGGTAGAGTGCTTACCTAGTATACATGAGCTCTGGGTTTGATCCCAAGACTGCATAAATTAGGCATGGTCGTCCATGCTTGTAATCCTAGCACTTGGGAGGTAGAAATAGGAGAATTAGAAGTTCAAAGGTCTTCCTTGGATACATATCAAGTTCGAGGTCAGCCTGGGCTACGTGAAATCCTCTCTCTCTCTCTCTCTCTCTCTCTCTCTCTCTCTCTCTCTCTCTCTCTCAGCTATGGGTGGTGGTTGACCTGTAATCTCAGTACTTGGTAGGCTGAGACAAGATAATTGCTGTAAGTTTGAAGCCACTCTACAAAGTGAAAGCCTATCTACAAAGTGAAACCCTGTCTCCAAACAAAACAACTAAACAGAACCCCACAAACCATCCTAGAGAGTATTCATTGAATGGTTATTGTGCCAGGTATTTTTGGGTATTAGACAGTAGAGGATAAGCAGGCTCTGTCCTGATCCTGAGGGTTTATCATATTCTGATCACAGAAGCCTTAACCAAGTAAATGCACAGATACACAGAACATGACAAAGGAGAGTAGCAGGTGCTATTTATTAGTGTATCTGTTTTACAGATGAGAAGGAACCAGCTGTGTGAAACTGCTGCTAAAATCATGTCCCTTGGACACCCTGCTGCCCCCCAGTGGCATCCTCTGGAGAATCCACTGACTCTTGTCCTAGCCTGGGATGGGAGGCCATAGTCCCAAGGGAGGGGAAATGATCGAGTCTCTTTTTCCAGAGCACAAGCGGGAGATCTACGACCGCTATGGCCGGGAAGGGCTGACTGGAGCAGGTAGGTGGAGTACTGGGGTGCCAGGATAGAAGTCAGCCAGGGAGGAGGGACAGGCAGATTCTTTTGGAACATGCTCTTTCTGAGGCTGATGGCCACATCTTAGGTGGGGTCCACTGGCTCAGGGTCAGATGTGTACCCTAAGCCCCTTCCTCATCTTGCCTCTCCTCCAGGAATTGGTCCCTCCCCGGCAGAAACTGGTAACATGGGGCCTGGCTTCACCTTTGCCTTCCGCAGCCCCGAGGAAGTCTTCCGAGAATTCTTTGGGAGCGGAGACCCCTTTGCAGAGCTGTTTGGTATGTACAATCAAGATAAGTTCAACTCACTCCCTCAGGCCTGTCCTCCATCCTCTGTGATATCTCAGACTAGAGACTGAAAGGGAACTGGAATTCTACAGATTTTGGGTTGTAGACGTGAGTCCAGTGAGAGCTGGGACAGAACCTCACACATGCCAGGACCCACGTGACTCACTAGTGACTCTTCACAGACTGGCCTTATTAAATGACAACAAGAACACATTGTTAAACCTCCACAACAGCCACCAGGGGAGCAATATTCAAAGCATCATGTGATAGCCGTAGTGGTGTTACATATAACAACAGATCCCAGTTTGGGGAATGATTAATATATATCAAGAATTCTATATCCTCTAATTCTTTTGCAAATCCTGAGAAGTGAGTCATCTTAATTCCCCATTTGCAGTTGAGAAAACTGAAACACACTAAGTAGCTCAGAGTCATGCAGTAAAGTGGCAGAGCTGGGTGGCTAGGATGGAGCTCTGTGGTAGAGTGCTTAGCTAGCATGTGAAAGACACTGATTCCAATCCCCAGCACCACAAAGAACAACAGAACAGAAAAATAAGTCTGGTGATTAGAAGATTCTCTCTTTTGGGCTGGAGAGATGGCTCCGTAGTTAAGAATGCATTCTGCTTTTGCAGAGGACCTGAGTTCTGTTCCCATCACCTACATCAGGCAGCTCACAGTCACCTGTAACTACAGCTCCAAGGGGTTTGATGTCCTCTTCTGGCTTCTGTGGGTGCCAAACTCATGTGCACAAACCCATATTTACACACCACACATACGCATGCACACATGAGCATGCACATAATTTAAAAACCAAAACCACGATTCTCTTTTCTGACATGTAGGCATGGTTTCACATGCCTGTGATCTCAGCACTTGGGAGGTAGAGGCATGAGGATCAGAGTTCAAGATCATCCTCAGCTACTTATCCAGTTGGAGGTTAGCCTGGGCTACATGAGATCATATCTTAAAAAACTTTCCAAAAAATTATAAATTAGCCTAACCAAAACCAGGAAAAATCAGAATTGTATTTGGTTGATTAGCAGCTTATATTTCTAGACTTAAAAGTGAGGACCACAGATTTTGGTGGGGGGTGGGGAATCTCTTCACCAACGACTAATCTACTTACTTTTTGCAGATGACTTGGGTCCCTTCTCAGAGCTTCAGAACCGGGGTTCCCGACACTCGGGCCCCTTCTTTACCTTCTCTTCTTCCTTTCCTGGGCATTCTGGTAAGCACTGTCCCTTTCCATTTTTGCAAACCTTGAGTCCTGGAATCTATCTTTGGTTTGTTGCTTTTGCTTGTCTGGGCAAGTTGGAGGGAAACCCCTGAGGTTCCTGGCCATCGGTGATGGTGGTAGGTAGCCACAGCCTCCCTCTCATAGCCTCCCCTCCACCTCTTTTGTTCCAATGCCAGATTTCTCCTCCTCGTCTTTCTCCTTCAGCCCTGGGGCTGGTGCTTTTCGCTCTGTTTCTACATCCACCACTTTTGTTCAAGGACGGCGTATCACCACACGCAGGTGAGGGCCATACAGGTGAAGAGGCCTGAGGGTGAGGGGGTGGAGGCAGGAGCTGTGTGCACATAGAGTCTACCGTGTCGACTGTAGTGGTCAGAGCCTGGACCAGGGTCTGATCATTGACTGAACTGTGCTGTCTTCCACAGAATCATGGAGAATGGGCAGGAACGGGTGGAAGTGGAAGAGGATGGGCAGCTGAAGTCAGTCTCCATCAATGGTGAGCTGGGTCTCCAGCATTGAGTTCCTGGCAGGAAGCCCCAGCCCATAGGGCATCCTTCTTGGGATGGGCCTAGGGGAGCAGAGGGGTCGCAGATGGCCAACTAATTACCATCATCATTAGTGTATATTTAAGTGCACCCATGTTGTGCAGTGCCCTTAAGGTCAGAAGAGGGCATCAGATACCCTGGAACTGAAGTTACAGATGGTTGCTAGTCACCATGTGGGTGCTGGGAACCCAAACTGGGTCATCTGTAAGAGCAGCCAGTGCTCCTAACCACTGAACCATCTCTCGAGCCCCTACTTCATTCTTCTTTTTTTTTTTTTTTTTTTTTTGAGACAGAGTCTCCCTGTAGCCCCAGCTAGCTAGCTTGGAAAGCACTATGTAGACCAGGTTGGCTTTGATCTCACAGAGATCCTCCTGCCTCAGACTTCTGACTGCTGAGATTAAAGGTGTGTGCACCATCCCTGGCACAGGTCACTCTTATAAAGCACACACACATACAGTCCCACTGTTTTTTCCCCTTTTTTTCTTGTGTGTGTGTGTGTGTGTGTGTGTGTGTGTGTGTGTGTGTGGTGTATACACTCATAAGTATGCCTGTGGGGGCCAGAGATCTATATCAAATGTCTTTCTTTATTGCTGTGTTTTAAAAAATATATAATATTTAT